TATTTCTACATTTGACTTGATGTCGAAATATAGTTCTACATTGACTTGATGTTGAAATATATTTCTACATTTTACTTGATGTTGAAATATAGTTCTACATTGACTTGATGTTGAAATATATTTCTACATTTGACTTGATGTCGAAATATAGTTCTACATTGACTTGATGTTGAAATATATTTCTACATTTGACTTGATGTCGAAATATATTTCTACATTTGACTTGATGTCGAAATATATTTCTACATTTGACTTGATGTCGAAATATATTTCTACATTTGACTTGATGTCGAAATATAGTTCTACATTGACTTGATGTTGAAATATATTTCTACATTTGACTTGATGTCGAAATATAGTTCTACATTGACTTGATGTTGAAATATATTTCTACATTTGACTTGATGTCGAAATATATTTCTACATTTGACTTGATGTCGAAATATATTTCTACATTTGACTTGATGTCGAAATATATTTCTACATTTGACTTGATGTCGAAATATAGTTCTACATTGACTTGATGTTGAAATATATTTCTACATTTGACTTGATGTCGAAATATAGTTCTACATTGACTTGATGTTGAAATATATTTCTACATTTGACTTGATGTCGAAATATATTTCTACATTTGACTTGATGTCGAAATATATTTCTACATTTGACTTGATGTCGAAATATATTTCTACATTTGACTTGATGTCGAAATATAGTTCTACATTTGACTTGATGTCGAAATATATTTCTACATTTGACTTGATGTCGAAATATAGTTCTACATTGACTTGATGTTGAAATATATTTCTACATTTGACTTAATGTCGAAATATAGTTCTACATTGACTTGATGTTGAAATATATTTCTACATTTGACTTGATGTCGAAATATAGTTCTACATTGACTTGATGTTGAAATATATTTCTACATTTGACTTGATGTCGAAATATATTTCTACATTTGACTTGATGTCGAAATATAGTTCTACATTGACTTGATGTTGAAATATATTTCTACATTTTACTTGATGTTGAAATATAGTTCTACATTGACTTGATGTCGAAATATAGTTCTACATTGACTTGATGTTGAAATATATTTCTACATTTGACTTGATGTCGAAATATATTTCTACATTTGACTTGATGTCGAAATATATTTCTACATTTGACTTGATGTCGAAATATATTTCTACATTTGACTTGATGTCGAAATATAGTTCTACATTGACTTGATGTTGAAATATATTTCTACATTTGACTTGATGTCGAAATATAGTTCTACATTGACTTGATGTTGAAATATATTTCTACATTTGACTTGATGTCGAAATATATTTCTACATTTGACTTGATGTCGAAATATATTTCTACATTTGACTTGATGTCGAAATATATTTCTACATTTGACTTGACGAAATATAGTTCTACATCAAACGACGACAAAATATAGTTCTACATCAAAGGATGACGAAATATAGTTCTACATTCAAACGATTATGAATTAATGCTCCAAGGCATTAAATTAATTTTTGCAAGAGCAAAAAATAAAAATTACAGTGAAACTTTAATGAAGTCATGGAAACACTACACAATTCCATGTTAAGTATTAAATTTTTTTGCAATTTGGAAGGTAGGAAATTTTTGTCCTCTTTTGGTCTTTTGACAGTGCAACAAAAAGTGATAAATGATTAAATGAAATAATTATAAACTGCTAATGTGGCAGTTTTTTTTTTTAAATTTTGTAATGCAGAAACATCTTTGACAGGTGCTCTAAATTTAAATAATCTGTAGAGTTCCCTGTTTTAAATTACACACAGATTAGAGGCGGGAAATGATGCGCACATCTTGAGTGACTTTATATATATATACATGCCATTGATTAATGGGGTTGAAATTTGAATGAGTGCACACAGGCTGCGGCTCTGAAATTATTGGCTGAGCCTACCAAGTGAGCTGCTGCTCTTTAGCATGTTGTGCCATCCATCAAGTAGCAGGAACACCTGCTATACAAGCAGCGCACTCATTGCACGGTTCTTTCTTGTTCCAACATACACACTCACTCACTCCTCGCACACAAGCATTTGCAACGCAAGACGACAACAATAAAACCGCACGTTAATGCCGTGTGTGTTCGTTTGTTCCGAGCGAGCGCAGTTGTACCTGCTTGCATAAAAGCATCATCGCCCAGTAATTGAGATTCCGCTCGTCTCATTGCAAGCAAAAATGCGAAAATCACTCAACTGCGCTAATTGCGAATAAAAGGTGGCTCTGGCTCCAATTTTAGGTTGCTTTGTTTATTAAATACAACAGTTTAAACTAGGAAATTAATTTGCATGGAAATTTTCTAGGATCCTTATAATTTAATCAAATTTTATAAATGGCATATATGTATGTTTTCGTACACACGCAAATTAATATTTTAAAATTGATGTTAATGTAATATTAATTATTATTCTCAAATTTTATATGAAAAAAAAACCATCTTCTGATTTTTGCAATGGTTATTTAATTGTTTAAAAATCATCTCTCAGGTATCACGAATTGTATGAGCTGAAAAACCTACTTATGTACTCTTCACGTATTTTTATCGCAAATCCAACCTCCTCTTGCACGCCATTTTACCAGTAATCCCTGCTTAAAAAATCATTTAAAAAATTCCCAACCGCCAATTATCAACCTTGTTTTGTTCGCCAATGTATAATTACGTCCTGTAAACAAATTTTCTTTCGCTTTCGAGTTTATGGCTCGCTAAATTTGTTGCTGGGGAATGTCTCAATTATGCGTCGGTGCCCCCTATAGCCCCTGTACTATAATTAACAGACTTTTCTCCTCGCCACACGAGAGATGAATGCCCATAGCGTTTAGTTAAGCCCTCGTCGGCAACAAAGAGCATCGGTTTTAAATGTATAAATAAGCAAAACGAGACTTATTACCGCATGCCTACCGCATTCTTGCGCGGTCCCCTCGAGTATGCCGCGTGCGACGCATGCACGCCATTGAAAAACAGTGGGCAACGTGTGCCCTATCATTGCCGTCGCAAGCACTAATGTGCGTTTCTGCTCTCCGTTTGTCACCGATATATTCATCACGATCCTCTCAGTGCCCAGTTTTTTCCCATCCGACGACAAAAATATGGCGCCAAGTGGGCTCCCGTTGATATTGAGTCACTCAGTGAGGACTGACCCGAAAACAGGATGTGTTAGAAAAACTTCAGGAATTTGAAATTGACATTAAAAAAGTGTAATAAAAAAGTTAATGATTGACGTCGGTGCAAAAACCGTCCGCAGATGCAAAGCAAAAAAATTTATATTCGCTTGACTGAAAAAAATTGTTCCATCCCGTGAGATGCAGAAGCTGCGCTGGAGCCAGATAATTGATCCTGCTGTTAATTTCAGTTGTGCAAAGCTCATTACATAAATCACGGCTTGCCTTCATGGCTGCTCTCAGCAACGGCTTGAAATTTCCAATTAAAATTTAATTACACTTTTAATTGAATGTGCTCTCGCAGCAACGCGGACTTACACACATTGCAGTATGTACAATGGTGCAATTGCACCTGACGAGAGAGACACACTTGCAATTTCGCTCAGCAGGTTTAATTGTATTTAAATTAGAAAATGCTGTTTTGCTGAATTATACTAACAAATTTTTCAAATCCTCTAGGCATTTTACTTCAACACGAGGAAAGTTATATTAGTTTGGCAAATCTGCCTTTGTAAGTAACAATCGACGTAAAATTCTCATTGCATAATTTTTTTGGGATATTCTGATTTTAGAAAATTTAATCAAATATTTTATGCAAATTGAACACTTCGAGCGGGATAATTAAAAATTTTAAACCTGAAACATTTTATATTTTTATAATGGAACAATAAAATCCAAAACTTTTTGAATAATATGTTGTTATTCTTTTAAAATTTTCTTCATACAATGTTTTCAACCATGCAGGACACCGATCCAACCCAAGATATTTTTTAATATTATTAAGCTTTCCTCTAAAAAGTCACTCAGGGCCGGTTCAGACTTTCAGTGGAGGTTCAAGCTCTGAAAATAAAAGAAACGAGTTGGCGTCTTCTCTCTCTCCTCGGTACACACTTCTTGCATGCAGTCGGGACGGCATAATATAAAATGCTTGTGTTGTCTGCCTGCGTACGGTATACGTTCTTTGGAGAGAGATACTCGCGCGCGAGTGTTACTTTTAGTCTTCTGGACAGCTACAATGCTACATGCAGCCAGTCTGATAGAAACACGGATAGCCCCGTTTTGTGTACGCGAGGCCATCCCTGGAGGAACTGCTCAGAGTCACCGCAAGATGAGCGGCACTAAATTATTTTATTCGAATTTCTCCTCTCTTCTTAATCCCACGTTCTGTGTGTGTGTGTGTATTATACCTTACTCACACTCATATCGAGAAATAATTCCCAAGGACAAAACACACAAGTCATGTTTCGAGCTATCTCCGTGAAACGCGCGCGCCGAGGGCCTCTTTTTAAAAAATAACTCAGATAGTAAGTGTCATATTGTACACGCTGATGGATTTATTGGCCTGTCGGCCGGGGTAAAAGGCGCGACACTGGCGCAGCCATTCCATAAGCCGGAGCCGTTCCAAATGGAATGTGGAATTATAGGATTTTTCTTTATATTTAATTTCTTTATTCCGAGAGAGAGCCGCAGATAACCGGCTAAAAGGTTAAACCAGAACAGACAAACACCTTTAGGAGAAAATTTAATATTCCATTAACGCGTTTCCTTGAAAAAAAAAATCAAAATATTTGCATAAAAAAATTGTTAACGGATGCAATTATGAATAGAATTTTAATTTTATTTTAGCCATTGACTTATTTTAAATTAAATCTGCATATTATTTCAACTTGGCAACATGCTGGCCTCCTTCCTTCTGTTTAATAAATGTGCTTTTGGATTTGAGCAGAGTGCAAAAGGGTTAAATGGGAGCAAGTAATCTAGAGGATCTTTCTTTCTTTCTTTCCCTCTCTTACCAATAAAGGAGGATGGTCTGGAGGTTGATCAGGTCGGCTGATTGTTTGTGTGATGATTGATGAGTTTGCAGTGACACTCTCTTTCTTTCTCTCTTGAGCGCTGCACCTCCTTCTCGTTTTGTCTCCAGCAGAGTTTCTTTCCTCGCCCACCGCCTGTGAAAAGTCAATTGCAAAACTTGTTACATGATAGATCTGGCCGCGATATGAAATATAATATTATAGAGCGCTTGCTCTGGCCGGCCTCTGACTGTTTGCCTCCTCCTTTTCGTATACACACACACGAGATTAAGTCATAAATTTTATCGGCCCAAAGAATTAAATAACAATAAAACAGGTTCTTATTTTTCATTATAATTTTCACTAGCTAGTGTTTAAAGTTTTTTGCGACATTAATTCAAATACAAATGGTCAATAAACAGTTGTTTTTTCTGCTTGAAATTTAAAGTTATTTAAAAACAGTGGACAGTTATTAATAATACTCAAAATTATAAAGCTCTTCTTCGTTAATTATTTAAATAATTTTTTTTATATTGCTGGTATTTGCCTAAATTTTGAATTTTGTAAGGGTGTAGTGTCCAATGCGAAAATTTGTAGTAAAAAAAAAATTAATTGTTTGATTTTAAACTATTTATTATTGAAGGGGTTTCTATAAACTTTTTCTACAATTTTTTGCCTCCAGCTCTGTTTGTGATGTGAGAGAGTGAATTAATAGGAATTAATATTAATTTTTTTCGCCACAAGCCATAAATTCCATTCACACAATTAATCCAGGCGGCGTGGTCTGTTGCATAGACAATAAAAAAATAAATCGAGCAGCCCTTGTGCCATTCATTTGAGATGTGCCATAAAGCATCATCGCGCCGATAAATTTATTTGCTTTTTTTGCCTCTACGGCAGTGTGGGCATAAACAATAAACACTCACACACTCCATGAAATATAATTCCATTATGCTCTCCAGCATATTTTTATGGGGCCATTGCAAGTGTCAGGCCGAATGAATGCCGCGGCTGGTGCATTCGTGCGCGCAATAAATCGGCAGGCGCGTGAAATGCCATCAAATGCATCGCGTCATTTTTCACCCAACTGACCCCTGTGCTGATCTGTATGACGCTCAGGAGAGCTTCTCGATGAAAAATGCACCCCGGGTTCAGTCGGGGATGGCCAGCATTTTTACAGCCGATTTGGAAGATGTGCATCCGAATAACACTCTAGTAGCTCGCAATCACATTAAGTGCGACTCGTGAAGTGTAGGGGACTGACCCACGCCAAAGGGACACAAACTATATCAAATAATCCATTTCTCGTTCGCAAATTCACAGCTCTATTAGAATATTAAGCGTCAAAAATGTTATTGCAATGACGCACGAACATGAAGCTTTCCTCTAAATTAATATTTGATATCAGATAAGAATAGCAAGAGAAGAGGGGATATATCTAAAATTCTAAATCAACCTGCTAGATTTTATGTCTTAAAGATTGCATAATTATGCATAAACATAATTTGAGCTGCAGTTTTTTGCCAGGAGTAAGAGCAAAAAAAGAACAAAGAAAGCGGCATTTGGAAGTATCAGGCAGTCATTTAAATTCAAGCTTTCAGCATCCAGAAAAAGAAAAAGAAAAATGTCCAAAGAACTTGACTACTGTTATTTTTCTTGTGTTTATATTTTGTAATTGAAAATTTTGTTTGTGAAATTTCGCATGTAAAACTTTGTTTGTAAAACTCTCATCTTTTCTCTCAATTGTATTGAATTTGTATAATTTTGAATGTATGAATGATGTATCCCGTTATGGGCAGCAATTGCCTTTGTGATATATCAATAAACACAATTTGCAACTAATTATAATATCAATAATTTAAAAAAAATTAAATAATTGTAGGCAATTTCTTCGCAGGCATGTTGTGCAGGTTGCATTTATTTCATAAACTTGAGCCTGTTTCATCAGGCAAGCGTTTTAAGATGTGGAAATTATTGTAAGTCTATAATATTGAGAATAATTTACTTTCTCATTCAAATTGAAGTTTGATGCATTTTTATTATTATAGAACAAAAAAATACATCAAATTTTCTATGCCCGCTCTCTACTAATTTTTATGCCATTATAGAGTAACATGCAATAAATTTAAAAACTAATTTCGTGATTCCTTTTTTTTTATCTATTTGACCTTTGCCAAGTCAGCACTTTTGAGAGGGGAGCATTTTATTTTTTGTTATTTATATCTGACGCAAATAGTCGAATTTTTATCTCTAATAGAAAAGGGACTAATGCATCAAAATGCAAGAAGCATCCCCCTCATGCATTCTTGCATAAAAATCGAAAAATGACTCTCATTTTTCACTTTTCTGATGTATTAAATGGGTACATAGCTTGTTCCGTCTGTCCTGTTCCAAGGGAAACAAAAATGTATCCCTCGTCAAAAAAAGTTTGTCCTCTTACTTTTGCAACCTGACACTGACGCGCGCAGGGGTGGCGCAATATATTACAAAACATATACAATATGGGGATATACAGGGATATATAAGTGTAATGCCGACGTTGAAAGTACGCATGTATCAAGCACATGCAGACACACACACCCCGGCGCAGATATCAACAATGGACCGTGATGCTGCCGCGCGCTTCTTGCAACAATCTCAAGGGGTCCAGTGTCAGAACCACGCCTCGGAATAAATCATCCCCCACCCACCGGAGCAAAAGATGGCAAGTCAGATATAAATCAGCCGGCCAAACAAAAATACGTACTGCTGTGCATATCTCCCGCTATGCAGTCGACGAGTGCTGAAAGTCGTCTGCTGTGTTCAGGGCAGGGACACTTTTTATTATTACATGTATCTTTGGGGGCTGATCTGCATAATGCATTCTTTTGGTAGCCATTTGGCGCTGACAAATAATATAAGTAAACAATTTTTTTAAGTTTTTGTAATTAAAAAAAATGAACTTTTTATAAAAAAAATGGTTTACATATTTGAAACGTTTTATTATTATTATTTCTTTTAGACTACTAGGTTAGTACCATAGAAATTTCCTTAAGCTAACTTAGCATTTGAATAACCCGCATTAGTTAATTAAACCTGCTGATCATGCAAAATATACGAAAATCAAGCCGACTTATCATTATAATTATGCATTTAATTGAGCAAATTGAGCAAAAAAATTAAATTAAAAAAAACTTAGTCAGCCGATGCTCACAGCAGCGGATGGTTTTTTTTTTTTTTTTTTTTTATGTTCAGAAGTTTTAGCAAAATTCTTGCTAGTCGTGGTGGTGCTGATTTGTCCTTCAATTCCTTTTTTTAAATAAATTGTTATCAGCAACTGAATGTAAACAATGTATTATTTGTAAAAATGTGGTCAAATAAACATCAATTATATTAGGAAATTTTGTATACATATTCGTGACCGTTCGTGACAAAATGTACATATGACAAAAATTGAAGCATAACCCAGGGATCGTTTCGAGCCGTTCACAGATGTTTTCCAATAATAATAATTTTCAATATTCACAAACAAGATGCCAAGCCGAGACCGTTTTGCTCAATCCATTTCTTATTCGGCGGCGTCCGTTGTGTGTTATTTTTATCATAGCTGAATAATCAAAGTCGTAAATCAAATTATTTTGAAAGGCATACCGGCGATATTATTATTTAATGCCGCGAGAGAAGAGCTTTATATCAAAAGCAGTCAATATATAATAAAAAAGCGTTCGGCAAACAAAAGGGCGTATTATGTATTTAAAGAAAAATGAATAAAAATGAATAAAATCGCAGGTATATAAACAGGCGTTACATTATGCACACCTCTAACCCTTTTATTGATTGCGTGGAAACCGCAACGTTTTGTATGTATGGAAAAGAAAAGAGTTGGAATTCCTGGTTGGGATTTTCTTCTTGCCCATGGGTTGGTCGTGGTGTGTGTGTGTATTGTGTATGGTGTATACGCGCGGGTATAGGCAGCTAGCAGGCTTTGGCGATAAATCATGGCTTACCGCAAGCATAAATCATCGGGAAGCTACGTGAAATGAAACGAATTCATCTCTGTCACTGGGGCTGCAGGGAGGATCGCTGGCTGCTCTCTCACATATAGCCGCCGTCCATGGCCGCGTATAGGGACACAGCTGCTCCGCGGCGGGCAAATCCCTCCTACGTTCAAGCCGCATCCATGCTAATGAATCACCGCCAATGATAATCAAAGACCGTCTCCCTAGATCTTCTCCCTCACCTCGTAAACTTGAAAAAGTCTATTTCCATTCCAGCGATTAATCCATGTCCAAATTTGTGACCTGCAACATATTTTTATTTTCATTTATTGCATGATAATGAAATAATGTGACCGTACAAATTTTTTAAGAAATTATGTCCAGCTAAATCTTATAATATATATTGTAATTTTTAATATTATGTTACTCTGCACTAATATCTCTAAATTTTCACAAATGTTAATATTATATTTCTGTTGTTTCCTTAATTTGTTTGAAAAATTATCTTTTAACCTATATTCAATTAAAAAAATATTTTCAATACATACAGATTAGATTTTTGCACCGATTGAGCCAGGTGATTCTGGAGAGAACACTAAAATTATAATATAACCAAAAAATAACAAAACAATTGTGTTATATATCATGCAGTTTCATTCATTAAAAATATTTGAAATACAATTTTTAAACTATTATCAAACTATAGGACTGATGCACATAAAAGATTTTATAATTCAATTTTTATCTTTACATTTTTATACCATTCACTCTGCTGAGAATTTTTAATGAAAAATTTTGGGAAGATGCAACTGTTTATGTGCAATTAAGACTTAATAATTAGAAAAATTATTAAAATTTTTTTATTGTTTATTATTTAAATTTGCTGAGGATATTCAAAAATAGAAATTGCATGTAATAGTTTTTAAAAAATACAATATAATTTAAATATTTTAAAATACTACTTGCATTCAAAAATTTTAATAAAACAAAAATTATTAAAATAATAATTTTTGAAAAAGTTGTTATTGTTTTTATAACTATTAATTAATTTATTTAAACTATAACAGAATTAGTAATTTTTAAATTAAATAATGTTTTTCTAGTTGCTCGCACCAATAAAATTAAATACTTTTAGGCTTGTATAGTGAATACTGAATCACAGTTGTATTGTGTGTCAATTGGAATCGCACGTCCGTTGTACAAGCAGAAATAAAAACAATCGAATTTGAAAATAAAACCGCCGCCCTGCCGCTGCATGTTCAGTGATTTACGGCCGTTTGGCGCAGACTTGATTGCGCGCGGCTGCGTGTCGGCCTGGTTTTGTTCAAAGTGCGGAGGATGAGCGTGAATAATTAGCGCTCGGCCGCGCGCGATTAAAAATGCAAGCAGCAGGCGTCTTCATTTTGAAATATGCATGCGTTTCGTCTGGGGGGCGGCAGGGAGGAGGCGTGAATGTTTTGCAATTATCCACATTATGCGGCGCATCCCTCTCTTTTCCGCCGCCGCCGCGTGAGAATTCATGACGCTGAATTGCGGCCGAGTTAATTGTCCGAAGAGCTGCATTGTCTATGTACGCGGTACAACACTACAGGGAAATAATTCCCATATCGCATATCCACCACCGAAAAGTCCATCACCCCGTGTATAGTGTAGCATTGCATTTCCCTTTTGCCCTGCATGAAATATGCAAATCAGCTGCGGTTCGTTTCGGACTTTTTGCCCTCGTGTGTGTCACACAGCAGCAGCGGTGGCACATAGAGAGAGGCGTGCGTTTTGTAATGCATTTCGAATTAACCCCTTCTGGCGGATGATAAGGCGCCGTTTGCTCTGCTCTGATCGAGAGAGCGAGATTGTCCGCCGGACAAATAAATATAATGGCTGCGTTCATATACAGCCCCGAGGTGTTTGAACAGATAAAATGTGCTGCTGATTTTAGAACTTCAATAATGCCATGGTTAAATTCGCTTCAATTTTTCCAAAACATGATATTTTGAAATGGAAATAATAGAAATTAAAGATTTAAATTTTTTCGATTTAAAAATATAATTTTATCTTCGAATCGCCCTGTATGTTTAATATACCCAAAAAAATAATGGTCATTTTTAAGTAAAATTAGAAGAAAAAAAAATCAGAAAATTTGTTGTCAAAATCTCATTGTAAATTTTAAAATTTAATAATAAAAAACACATAACAAATTACAATTAAAACATTAAGATTGCTATATTTGAAAAATTTCTTTAGAATGTTTTATTATTAAAAATATTTTGTTTCATTTATTTATTTTTCAATCTAATAATTGAAATCAACCTTTTTGATAAAGATCCTGCCATGTTAACTTTGAATTCTAAAATTATCGATTGATAATATTAAATTATATCTATATGACTAATCAGAAGTAAGTAAATTTGTCAAACAAGAATGTAAATTTCACTAATTTAATTTTGTCATGGCTCGTGGCAATCATGTTAAAAAAACATATAGTATTATATTAATGCATAGCAATAAAACTAATAATAGCTTGAGAAAGTAAAATATTAATTATCTTCTGTCTTTTCTGAAGTTTCGGGCGGGATTTCAAGGTAATATGTAAATAAATTCAAATATTATATCCTCTATATATTTTTCATTTTGCTTACAACCCCCCTTAACAAAATACTATACTATAAAAGAACTGCGAGTTAAAAGTTTAAAGGAAATTTCAATATCGCTGAGCTGGCATCCACGCTTGGAATAAAAATGAATTTAAATTGATTTCAAATTTAATTGACGTGAGTTTTTATTCTCATCTGATCTATGCAGATGTGTGCAAAATTTCGAGTAATTCATTATTATTTTCATTTTTTTTAACTCGGTCAGGATATTGAATTACTCCTGAATGCTGGAAAACAGTTTATTTTTCATTTTGTGGCCTCTCTGCTCGGGACGAATGAAGTGATTGAGCCTCGGTGATAACGTTGAAGCATCTTAAGGATGCTTTCTTTCTTCAGTCGCGCATCGAACACGTTTTTTCTTTCTTATTATAAACGCAAAGGCAAACAAAATTATAACCTTGTGTTGTTCTCTGCGGCCCAACGCTTTTTCTGCCTGTTCTGTTTGTGGCCGAGTGCGTTGCCAGCCATAGCAGTTTGATCGGACGAGGATCTCTCAATTACCTGGCAGCACACACAGGCCTCCGTTCTTATCATCTCATTTCGTTATGTGGCAAAACACACACACACTCACAAAATAATAATTTAAGCACACACACATAAAACGTCTATCTCAATAAATCTGCTGGCCAGGCATGGCTGCGCTATCTCCCGAATAAATCAAATCAAACACACATATATACACAGAAAAAGGAACCAACCTGGCAAAAGAAAATTTAAGAGGCGGCTAAGTACTTTTTAATGACTCGCTTAACGGCACACCGTCTGCCGCCGTCGTGTAAATAGGCTTAAGTCTCTCCTGTAAATTTTCCGGCGCAAAGTATTTGAATAAAACTTTAATTCCTTGCTTAATTTTGATCCGAATTAAAAGTTGGCCGGTTTATTTGTGAGGTGCTGTTTTTTGAGCATCTCACGATAAATTATGCTCTTAAACCGCGCAAGAATGAACGCAGAGAGCTAGCGCGCGGCCAACTCGACTCATTCATCATTGTGATGTATTACAAGTTGGGAATATATCTAACGCCGAATAATGCAGTCGCCTTGAAAATGGAAAATGCGATGGCTGCGTATGCTGTCGGACGGATTTCCTTGAGGCGTGTTTTCAAAACAACACACAGCATCATGAGAGAGCTAGGCGGCCTAATTTAGAAACTAATTATTGTTATCTCTCACACTGTCCCATAAATCTTTCGCCTCCGACAACAATGATTTGTGCCTCTCTTATTATTCTGATAATTTTCCAGAGCGTTTAATTACATATTTCCAAGTTTATACATAATACGCGCGTTCCCATCTTTCGTCGGCGGATTTCGGTTTTCACCGACGATATGGTAATTTAAAATTATACGCGCGGCTATCAGCGAACGAATAAAAAGATGGGCAAAGTTGTAATTTGCATCTGTAATGAAAGGCGCTGATGGAGATGTTTTTTGTATGAATATTCAAGTGTTGTAAATCAATCAATCATCAACGGAAAACTAAAATGCAGAATTTAAAATAAGTTCATGGTCTTTAAAAATCTTTAGGTTAAGAGTAAACAACTGAATTTACATTTCATACCAATTTAAATTTTTTTTTATTTTATTCAACAATACTAGTGCGTAAGAAGGATATTAGATTATCAGCAAAAGAAGAAGAAACGGCAAAGCAAAAACATGAAAATTTACGGAAAATTATTAAATCTTACTACATGAATGAAAAGAAATTTTTATTATGACATTCAATACGTGTGAAATATTGAGAGAGGGGAACAAAATTGAATTTGTTGAAATGAAGAAAAAAAAAATACTTGAGGAAGAAACTTTTATCTTTTATTTCACTAAATACCTGGAAATTTTATCCAAAATTACCATTATCCATTATTTTCTGAAAATTATATCCATTTAGAATTAATATTTTGGAATAAACAATAACTCTTCTGCAATTGTAATAAAGGATAGGAGGAAACCTAGATTATTTCTCTAAAAGCATTCGTGGAATAGCTCTTTTGCCTCGTTTATTTCGCACAACATACTGGATTTATAGGCAGCAGTCGCATTTTCGTTTTCTCTCGCTCTCTTTTTGTGAATTTGCGAACGACCAGTTGTATGCTATCAAAAGAAAAGCAGGCGCCCCACGCGAGCTGAAAAGAAGCGGCGGCAGCACAGAACATTTTATTTTTCTTCTCCTCCAGACTGGAAAATTATTGCGGGCCATATTCATCTTGTGGCAATTTATGGGCTAATAAATTGCCACAAAAGAAAAACTAAATCAGCGCTCTTGCTTGGTGGTGCAAATGCACGCAGGCAGCACAATATTTGTGCCATCTCTGCTTTCTTCCTTTCTTTCTATATATGGGGAGTCCATCTTTCCTAGCAAGTCTCTCTTTGTTCAAACTCACACAGTTGGCGAGTACGTAAACAAAACGCGGAGAGAAAAGGGAAAAATAAATATAGTGCTTGTCCAGAAAAGGGCCGGCGAATACAAAAAGTAGGAAGGACGAAGGAGAAAAGTGTCTTTTGATGGAATAAAAACGTTCTCGAGCTATTACGCGTCGCTTCGTTTCAAAATGTTTCTTTTCTTGTAAGCTGAGCGATGAGAAAGAATAACAGTATCATCCCTTTCTCTGTTTCATCCCCTTTTCTTTGTGCGCCGAAATGGATCGAGGGAGGAAAA